CCCCCCCCCCCCCCCCCCCCCCCCCCCCCCCCCCCCCCCCCCCACACACACACACACACACACACACTCTCCCACACACACATGCACTCTCCCACACACACACTCTCCCACACACACATGCACTCTCCCACACACACACTCTCCCACCCACACACACACACATTCTCCCACACACACACACATATACTCTAGGTACAGTACAACAGGTACACCAGGTACAGGGCAACAGGTACGCCTCGCACAGAACTGCAAGTACACTAGGTACAGGATAGCATGTATGTGAGATACAGAACTGCTTATACTAGGTACAGGACTGCAGACAGACTACAGGAGTTATGTAATCACCAACTTATTTAACTGCTCCTTATGGTGAGACTGCCCAAGTGCTGGCCTAAGAGTACCAGTTTGATGCTACCTGTTTCAATGTTCTGAAGGTCAGAAAATAATTAATGAAAGTGATAACTTGTCTATGCAATTGTTATTTTAAGCAATTTTTTTTAACCAGAATTGATTGTCTAGCATCCTTACTATTAAAATCTTCTCTGTTAAACAATCATTATACATAGAAGAATGTTGGGATCTTTGGAATCCTCAATTGAATAAATGCAGTTTGACCTGTTGTGACATACCAGAGGTAAGCCAACCAATGACCTATGACACTAAATGTAGACACATCACATTGCAATGCGTACAAACTCCCACTCATATTTCAGTACAGCCTGCACAGTATTTGTGATAACCACTATAAGGCCCATGCAGAGTCACTAATTAATCACCTCAGGGAGTTTGTTGAGTATCAGTTTGCTTGGTAACAGGCAATGGCCTGCTATGGTAGAACTCATCACCTGAACTTGTATCAAGTGGATCCAGGGCTAGGCTGGCTCTAAACAGGTCCAGGCAGCAGGCTGTGGAAGGGTTCATCTCTGCCAACTGCCTGCCCTTCTTCCACCATTACATTCAATGCCCAAATAAAATAAAATATACACATCAAGTATCAGGGCCCCAAAACTCTGCAATGACCGCATCTCCATGAGGAATTTGCCAGCTGGTGCCCTGCGCAATCACCATATTGGAGTTTTCTAAGATCAGCAGCAAGGCATCTAATTTATATGTGGCAATTTGTCATCAACGCCAGTCAGTGCCAATGCAGCACATGCAGTGTCCATCAGGGCTCTCAATGCCTTCAGAGAGAGGTGGGCATCACAGGTGATACAATGCTTTATTTCACCCTCCAACTCCATCTTTATTTAGCTCCTTCCAACTCTCCCTCAGCCTCCCCCTCACTTTTGATGGGTTGCATTACTCCTAAGGAGCTTTGCATGTAAGCTTCTAATCCACTACGTGAGAGATAACTGGTGAAAGTAAAGCCACAGTGATTTGGTACTGGGAAAGTCATTCAGTTGTGTGTGGTAACATTCCTGGACATAAAACAAAAGCAGATCTAGATGGCCTTTGAAAGTAAATGTCTAATTGGCTACATGGGTGACTTACTCGTGGCAATTAATAAGTCACGGTGGACTTGGTGATGGGAAAGTCATTTGATTGTGTGTAAGGGCACTTCTGGATAAAAAAAGGAAGCAGACCCAGTTGTTGTTTTGGTTACACTTCAGTCCCAAGCTCTAATCTTCTGGCATTAGATGCAGAGGGGAGTGGGGAAGATTGGAGGATCTCCTGTTGGGTCAGCTTCTGGGCTTGGTCATGTTGGCTACAAAGAGGTTCAGGCAGCAGGCTGTGGAGGGGGTGGTCTCTGCCCCTCTTCCGCTGTTATGTTTGTGCACGGGTGTCATTGGAGAGGGAGCACACGATGTCCATCAATGCACTTAATGCCTTTAGAGAGAGGTGGGCACCTCAGAGGATACAACTTCCCACCCAACAAATCCAGTTTGATTTAACCCTTCCCTGCTCTCCCTAACCTACACCCTCACTTTTGATGGATCACATTGCCCCTAATGGGCTTTGCTTGGAAGCTTCTAATTGGCTGCATAGGTGCTGGTCAATAGTTTGTTTTAAAAGATCACGATGATTTGTTAATGGGAAAGTCATTCGCTTGTGTGTGATAACACTTCAAGATATTTAAAAAACAAAAAAAGAAGCAGATGCAGGGTCTTGTGGTACAGTGATATGATCCCTGCCTCTGGACCAGGAGGCCTGAGTTCAAATCCTACTTGCTTCACATCTCTGAACAGATTGGTTAGAAAATATCTTCAATGGCATGGAATCTATTCAAAAGTGATTCAATAGGCTGCATCCAGTGATAAGGGTGTTGGCTTATCATAAACAGCTTAGGTTTCTTTCCAGGGGGTTCCAGTAACACTGCCTTTTAAACTGGATTCAAGTCCCATCTGTTTTAGAGATGTGTAATAACATCTCTGGTCAGGCTGATTAGAAAATAAAGCATACCCAGCCTGTAATGGGCTTTGCTTGTAAATACCCAATTGGCTGCACGGATGTTTTATTGGTGGTGGATGCTAATTATAAACAAAAAAAAAGTCACAATATTTTTCTGGTGGGAAAACCATTCAGTTGTGTGTGATAAGACTTCTCAATATAAGAAAAGGAGAAAGAAATAAAGGAGACTCAGGTGGATCTTATAGAACAGGGCTAGTATCCCTGCCTCTGAACCAGGGGTTCTAGGTTCACGTCTCACTTGCTCCCGAGGTGTGTAATGACATCTCTGAGCACATTGATTAGAAAATATTATAATGCAGAACCAGGGCTCTTGTAACATGTGACACTGTCCCTATTTCTGAGCCAGGTGGCCCAGGCTCAAATCTCCCCCAAAAATGGATCTGCCGAACTGTCTGTCCCAGGCTGGGATGAGCCTATGTACACCATGAGTAGTGGCTCTATTTTGCTGTTCAGTAATAAACATTGTTTATAAATAACCATTAATCAGTATACAGGGGATCTTTCAGCATTTAGTGTCTGCCATGATGCCCAAATAAAATAAAATAGACACATCAAGTATCAAGGCCCCAAAACCCTGCAGTAACAGTGTCTCCATAAGGAGTTTGCCAGCTGGTGCCCTCTACAATCACCATATTGGAGTTTTGTAAGATCAGTAGGAGGGCATCTAATTTATATGTGACAATGTGTCATCAGTGTCAGTCAGTACCAATGCAGCTCAGCTGCCTCCCTGCCCCAAGCAGTCAGAAAATTCATTAGCTGCCCACAAAAAATTGTTGGGTGTCCAGACCACATTGGAGCCATTCTACTTATGTGATAATTCAATCTCCACTGGAACTTCTTACAGTGCTCTTACAATCAGTCAAGATCACATCAATGGAAATTCCGCATTGATATATGAATGGGAGTATGGCTGACTGATGCAGGTTTACAAACAGAACTCAGAAATCCCAGAAAGGCCAGGGCGTCAGGAATTCAGCAAGCTCTAACAAAAGCAGGTTGCCATGACAGGAATAACACAGTATGGAGCTGGAGGAACACAGCAGGCGAGGCAGCATCAGAGGAGCAGGAAAGTTGATGTTTCAGGTCGGGACCCTTCTTCAATAATCCTTGCCATGATAGGGTTAGGTTAGGGTGTGTTGTTTAGGGCAATTGCTTGTAACATAGTGATTTCATCCCATACTTCAGTCAACTTTTGCAAGCCGTTTCCACAATGTAAATCTAGAATGCTGGAAATGCACATCAGATCTGAATGAAAAGATAAGTTCCAGTGGGTGCCATTTTCGGAAATGCCATTAAGATGTCATATGAACCCCTCAGTAAAAGGGCAACCTAATAACCATTCCCAGATGCCTACCATTCTGTGGAAAAAGTTTCTGGTAAAATTGTGATCCTCACTGGCTATAAAGTGCAGCTGTATTTTTGATACTGCTTTCATGGCCCATCTTTTATTGACAGGTGTGGAGGAAATGCAAGATGCGCATTTTCACAGTGGCCCAGTTGGAAGATAACAGCATTCAGATGAAGAAGGACCTCACAGTGTTTCTCTATCACCTGCGAATTGTAGCTGAGGTGGAAGTTGTTGAGATGGTACGAGGACAGTAGTAAAATATGATGATAAGTGCAGATAAGTTGCTATTTGTACTTCTAAGTACTACCAACTAGAGACACATAAATGTCTTCCTTGGTTTCACCTGAAGTTAACTGAATTGAAGTGAATCAGGCAAATGGATTATAAACACTCCTCCCAACAACCCCAGACTTTATCCTGTAGATATTTGAGATATTTATGCAGCCTACCCCACTACTAACATTAATATATCACTCCCAGAATATTAAAATGATCAATTCACATGTTAATGTTTTTTATTGAGTATATTATTCTGCTTTATAGCATGACAGTGATATCTCAGCCTACACTTATGAACGAACACTGATGATGGAGCAGCGGTCACAAATTCTAAAGGAAATGCACCTAACAAAAAACGAGAGAGAGCGTGAGGTACCGGACCATTTATTTTGCTTTACAAGAAGTCTTGTTCCAACCTGTTTTGAATTGTGAAATCTTAAAATATTGCACACAGCACTTGCTTTCTATTGATGCTGAAATCCTGTTCGCTCACAAGAATCCTGTCTAATAACATGACAAAGACAGTCATTCGCTTGGCAAACATACCAGCTGACACTGATCACAAGAGCCCAAGTTCAATCCCTGGTCTGGGCTGAATAAATTGCAAACATTACGCTTGACACCCATTGGAGATAATATCAATTTACTGTGTCAATTTTATGAGAAACTTATTTTCATGATCAAAGATTGAAGGGAATGAAAATCAATCTGGCCTACACTCCCAAGATATGTGGGTCAATGATTGAGGACTATAGATTCATAACCTTATTGACTCTAACCTACACTTCTGGATAGCATGGCTCCTTTCTTGGATTATAGCAGCGTTGAGTCACCCTTTTGTACTTTCTATAAAGAATACCATGACAGATAGAGAATCGGGTAGTTAGGAAACTTCTGCTTCCCCACAGTGCCTGGCATTTCTAACAGTAATCAATTATAACATCTTATTTTTGAACATCAGTAATCCAAAATATAAATTGTCACAAATGTCGAAGAAAGTGATGGTGAATGAAACCTGCAAGCCAAGAAGTAACTTGCTGCCACATCTGGACATTTTTTTAGAATCTTGACAGCTTGGAAGCAGGCCATTCACCCCAGCGAGTCCACACCGAACAGCATCCAACCCAGACCCAATCCCCTACCCTCTCCCTGTAACCCTGCATTCCCATGGCTAATCGACCTAGTCTGCAGATCCCTAGACACTATGGGCAATTTAGCATGGCCAATCCACCTAACCTGCGCGTCTTTAGACTGAAGAATTGAAGTAAGGAAGAAAGATTTACATTTACATTGCACCTTTCACAACCTCAGGACTTTACAGCGAATTACATACTTTAGAAGCACAATCTTTGTTCCAATGTAGAAGAGAATCCCACAGTTTTGAGATCCTGAGAAAGATTTAGGGTAGGTGACGATGATGGGTTTTAATTTTAACAAAACTGGGATGTAGGGTGAAGATAAATATGTAGTCAGAGCAAAAGAGGAAATTCCAAAATGTTATTGTGCTTATCTCTTGAATTTAAAGCCAACCAAGTTACATTACACTGAGGAACAATAATGACAGCAAACTTTCATAAGCCACCATTCTGAGTTCAAGAAATCTCATCCATCATGAAAATGATTCAGTGCACACATAGCAAGACGTTTACTCTTATATTTACTTTGCAGTCACTTCTGTGCGACTCCTGATGTTTTAGCAAGACAAATTTAACTAAAACAAGGAACAGGATGAGCATGGGCACCTCCAGGACCATCATCGTGCTGATTGTTGCTCCACACACCGGAAGTAACAGAAAGGAAAATGCATTTACTATGTACCTTAGCAAAAAACCAACAGTAAATGAATGCCCATGTTGTCTCCATGAACAGTGCTCAGTCACTGCACAGTTGTGCCCATATAAAGGGTTCAATGCTTCTGAGGACCTTGTTCATTTTTGCTCTTTTCTATTATTCAGATTCAAAGCATCACAGATGAATCACGTGGTTCCATTCGTCGTAAACATCCCGCAAAGGCCAAGCTACGCTTGAGCAGCCAGGACGAGCAGGAAGGAGGGCCTGTTGAGAAACCCGAGGAGGAGGTATTATTATGATTATGGCTGATTTGTGGCTGTAAGAAATGAAAGCAGCCAGCCCAGGACTGTGGGTGAGATCAAGTCCAGAGCTGGGGAGGTCAAGCCCTTGTGAGGAGCGTTAGCCCAGCATGGCCAGGCACTTACTTTGTTTTTCCACTTTTAGTAAGAAGGATTATAATGTTCAATTTTTTAACCCTGTTTCTTTATTTTTCTGCTTGTGAGTACATGTGACAATAAACCTAATTCTAATTCTAAAGGACCTAGGGACACTGGTTCAAATGCCAGCATAAATTTAATTTTGTTTAGTTTTCACTCGATAGTTTGTTTCGGGCAAAATTGTGGGATCAACTGAGCAAAATGTTATAAGTGATGGTCTTCCAATTAATTCTTATTTTTAATTTTTTTTATCTAGATAGTAAATCCCTCCTTCCACCCCACAAGTTCTTTTGCCTCCACTGCATTATGCTAATTTTGATCTTGTGTGAAAGTGTTATTTTGATCTATCATTGAGTGATAAAGAATTAGAATTATTCAGCAACATTCATCAAGTTGTGAACTCCAGATGGGTTCTTGACTGCTTTTCTAACTGCAGCATTGATGCAGTCTTTAATTGGTGTTAAGAGAATGTGGCAGATGGTTGTCACATTTCTTGACCAAAGCACAGAAAGATGAAATAAAACCTGCTGTAGGGGGCTTGGATGGTGATTGCTCCAATGTTTCTGACAGTATGTGCACTATTGCTGGGTGGGCACAGTGATTTTCAATTTGGGAAGGGGCATTAATCCATTGTACCCATTCTTAATTTGAGACCTTCCAAACTCTATGGCCTCCATCACCATGAAGGGAAAAGCAATAATCTTTGAGAAACATCATTAGCTCCAGGTTTTCCCTATATATTGTCAATATCAGTTAGATACAAAATCCTATAATTCCCTATCTAACCCCATTGTGCAATTGCTATCACCATAAAGACTGCATTAGTTGAAGGAAAAGGTTAACCACTATCTTCTGAAGGCAGCTTTAAGGAGGTAATGAATGTGACCTTGCTAAGAACTTTAGGTGTCAGAGATTTGACTCTATCGTCATAATGAAAAAGTTTAGCACAATTAAAATTTGATCCCATGTCACCCCACTTGTTTCTCGCTCCTGTTCAATTCCCCTCATCTTCCCTCTTTTCAGGTTCAGTTGATTCACGACAAAACAGCTTCTACTCAGTCAATCGCCTCTCAGTCACCTGCTGAGGAGGTCAGCACACCCGGAGAGAAAGTTCACATGACTTGGACTAAAGAAAAATTAGCCGGAGACAAAAACAAAAACAAGGGGCCAGTCACACCAGAGGAAATCCGGGATCTTTTCAGTATGAAACCGTGAGTGTGCTTAATCTGAAGTAGAACAGGGAAGGGAGCAAATGGCTAATTAAATATCTAAACTTTCTTTACACTACAATAAATAACATCAGACTGAGGGCATTTCTATTGGTACAATGATGTTATGCAGTTATTGGCACTTCAATCGCTTAAATTTTGAAATGGTCATTTTTTCACTTAACGCTGCCAGTGAATGGGAGAATCTGTAAGTCAAATTTATTCCTTTTTCTTTATTCCTTTATTCAGCTCATTGGTACATTTGTATTTGTATGTCTTGTTTAACGGATATTATGTTCCATCACAATTATGAGATTTACGTCATTGCTTGGTTTTGGAACTACATCTTTAATTTAAGATAAAATAAGAATGTTATGTGACCTGTTTGAAGTCTTGCCTGACAGCAAGCTTGTATGGTTTGATTGTAAGAGATTACCTGAAGCCTAGATTGTTTTACTGAGAAAAAGATGCAAGGTGTTTACACTTGGAGAGAATGGCAGCAGCCACTGTACTAAGAGTTAATAGACTGAGTGTTTCCAATTTCCCAGAAAAGTATTGAGAATGTTAGTTTGTAAATAGTGCATTAAACTATCTATTCAGTTCTAAAATGAAAGAAAGTTATGGCTCTCAAGGATAGTTAATCAGCATTTCTACTTGGACATAAGACCAATATGATTCATGTTAACATAGAAATCAAGTTTGAGAGGAAAGGGTTTTCTATTCTGCTAGGATCTAGGAGTGGGAGAGAAGCCATGGGCAGAAAGACCATATGGTCCACCATAGAGGAGAATGAATGAGAACTCATGCTCAGATAAGAAGATGAAGTTCATGGGGAGTTCAAATGAATGTGGAAGATTTTTCCCTAGAGAGCAAAGTCTTCAGAAAAACTTGTATCATGAAAGACGGTTATAGTTGTGAAAGGAAAAGATCAGCAATAAAGCCTCAGGAACTGAAAACCATTTTGAATTGATTCTGGGAGAATTGACTATATACTTGAAGAGCAGAGCAACACATACCCAATAACAGGTTTTCTCATTTCTGTCAAAAAGTTCTATTCTGTATTTTAAAGAAATAATTTCCCAACAAAATTAGTGTTTAGTCATTGTGAATATAATTGGTTTGTTAGGTTAACATTTATAGCATGAAAATTTGTGCCATCTATTTAGCTATTAACGGGAAGTTCAAATTCCTTTTTAAATGTTATTGGTCTCTACAGTAATCAAAATAATTCTCAGAGTCCATTTGCACAGTTGCATTACACACTTGAGGTATTTTACTAAAGTGTTTCCTTTATTAGAACACAAAGAGGTGTCCAAAACAGCATTAATTTTTATCACTCTTGGTGTTCTGGAAGGGTAATTAGCTACAAAACCAGAGGCAAAATGAGAAAATTAGATTTACAAAAACAGTGCTATGATCTAGAATATAATATCTGAAAGAGTAACAGAAGCACATTCAACACTAATGTTTTAAAAAGGACTTGGCTAAATACCTGAAGAAAGACAATTGCAACAGTATGGAACAAGAGTAGGGAAGTGGGACTAATTGACTACCTCCTTTGAAAAAAAAAGAGAAGCACAATGAACTGAATGTCTCATCCTGTACTGTATCATTCTGTGAAGTAGCGCGCATAAAGTAGCCATCCTCTGCTTTTAGTCTTTAACTCCCGTGGAGTATGCTGTGGTGTTTGTAAGGAGAATTATGTTTTACAGCTCAATACCTTACTGGATGGGGGCTGGGTATTAAAATCAATTTTGTCTCCCATGCTTAGATTTTTACCTTTAAATATGCAGCTATGGGAGTCAGAGCAGTGAGATAACAATTTGTTGCCCCATTTTGTAAGTTATGTACAATAGTTTAATAAAGAAGTGCGTACATTATTTTGGTCAATGTGCAGTAATGCACCAGACAGAAAATGTTAAGCCTGTTTTTTTGATGCTGTGTTTTTATTATAGCGCAAGTTACTTATTGCACTGCCGTCTAATCAATTGATGCAATATTTTGTTTACTTTCACTTTTTTAACAAAGGGTAGCAGTCTTCTTATAACTCAAAGCATATGCAGTTTATTAAGCAATTTTCTGCCTGTTTATCTCCCTGTAAAAGTATATGTCAGTTTACATGCCTCTCTGTGCAGCACAGTATTTACTCCTCACTTCAGCAGTTTAATGATTCACACTACAAGTGCTGTTGGCTTTCTCTGTCAATCAGAAATCAGTCAAATGTCCGACGGATGCACACGGCAGTCAAACTGAACGAAGTCATCGTGAAAAAGTCCCAAGACGCTAAGCTGGTCCTGCTGAACATGCCAGGACCTCCGAAAAACCGGAATGGAGATGAAAACTGTATCCTTTCCCAAGGGACAGAAACTATTATGCAATATCAAGGCATATTAGTTTAAATTGGTAGCCTAGTGCCAGTGTTATGGACCAGCAATCCAGAGAGCCAGGCTAATACTGTAGGGAATTAAAGCAAAATACTACAGATGTTGGAAATTTGAAACTCCAGTTCTGAAACAGACTCAAAATATTCAGTCTGTTTCTCTCTCTGCAGGTGGTGCCAAATCTGCTGAGTTTCTCCAGTATTCCCTGTGGTTGTTGTTAATGACCTAGGGACACTGGTTCAAATGCCATCACAAGAATTGAAAACTGACTCCAGTAATGGTGACGATTAAACTATCATCCATAATGCAGCATGGTGGCACAATGGTTAGCATTGCTGCCTCACAGAGCCAGGGACCTGGGTTCGATTCCACCCTCAGGTGACTGTCTGTGTGTGTTTCCTCCCACAATCCAAAGATGTGCAGGTTAGGTGGATTGGCCATGCTAAATTGCCCATAGTGTTCAGGGACGTGCAGACTAGGTGGATTAGCCATGGGAAATGCAGGGTTACAGGGATAGTGTGGGAAGTTGGGTCTGGGTGGAATGCTGTTTGGAGGGTCAGTGTGGACTCAATGGATCAATGTAGGGATTCTATGATTCATTGATTTCAAAAACCCCTTTGATTCACCAACACCCCTCACCCCATGGAAACCTGTAAGCAACTGCCACTAGCATCCTTTCCCCCATCCAGAAGCAGTGGACCACTCAACACTTCCTACCCAAATAGGAGAGAATAGACAAAAGCCAGAAACAATAAGAAATTCTGGGGGGAAGAAGCAGATAGAAAGAGAAAGTAAAAATTTATCAAAGGAAAGATGCAGAAAGACAGAGAAATAGCAACATTACAATGGCAGAGGGTAGATTGGAGCATGACAATATTATCTGATTTGTGTGCAAAGTCACAGGAGATGGACTAGTGTGTACTTGATAAAAGGGATGAGGAATACAGTATAATAACAGCACAGTGCAAGTATCACAGGATATTCCAATGCACAAGTCATGATCGCAGTACAAATACTGCAGAGAATGCTAATAAACTAGAAGTGGCTGCAGGAAAATACTGGAGGGCTTTCCAGTAAATTAATTGTGATCACAGTGAAAATACTGAAGGAATTAGCAATAACCTACTTACGATTGCAGTAAAAATGCTGCAGGGGTTGCTAATAGACTAGAAGTGACTCAAGTACAATCACTGCAGGCTTGTGGTCAAACTTGTTGTGGTTGCAGAAAAAATACTGCAGGATTTACCAATAAACTGACCACAGTCACAGTAAAAAGCTGAAGGAAGTTAATACAAAAGTGGTTGTGCTTTTCAAATTTAAATAAAGATAGTTTTTAAGGGCAGTGTAGTCAGGGTGGAAACTGCTGACTGCATTTGTTAAATTAATATAAATGAAAGATGTATTTGCTTGCAGAGATGTGAAAAAAGAAACAGTAATAAGTACTCTTTGTGTTCATTAGCGTTAGGCTCAAAAGTAAAAAGTGCAATTATTTAATTAGTTTTATGTTTGATGTTATAAATCCTTGAAGGACACAACAGAATGGTAGAATATAGAATGATTACAGCGCAGAAGGATGCCATTCATTCCATCATGTCTGTGCTGGCTCTCCAAATTAGCCATTTATCAATTGTCACTTATTCAGTTTCTTCCTGTAGCCCTGCATATTCTTCCTTTTCAGATAATAATCCAATTCACTTTTGAATATCTCAAGTGAATCTTCCGCCTCTACACTTTCAGGCAGAGAATTCCAGATCCTAACCACCTACTTTGTAAAAATTTGTCCTGGTGTTGCCATTGCTTCTTTTGACAATTACCTTAAATCCAAGCTCTCTTGTTCTTGATCCTTCCACCAATGGGAACAGTATTTTGCTATTATTGTGACCAAGTGAGGAATAATGAATCTTCTTAAACAGCCTCATCAACCCGCACCGACTTCATTGACTGTAGTGAGAATTTTTAGCGTTTTTTTCAAATGCAGTTATATTATACTTCAATTAATACAAAGCAAGGAGCTAATTGCAAGGTTTTCCTCAGTGTTTGAAATCGGAATTATTTATCAGCCCCAATAAAAATAATAAAATATGATATCAAAGACACACATAAGCACAAGTATAAAGTTTAAAAAAGGGAGAGTGTTTAGTACAAAAAGTAGAAACGAGAATAGGCAACTTACAAAACTCTTGGAGTTCTTGATGAGTTAGGTTTCAATCTGAGACTGTAGTTGTTTAATTGATTCTTGTTTTTCTCAGCAGTAAAACCTATGGATATATGTGAGTGTTCATTGAATGACTGGTTCTGCTACTCACTTTATCACTGGGCCCAGCTTTTTGAGACACTGAGAGAAACTGTGAGAGAGTAAACTTTCCAGTTCTGCTGTAACAAATCGATTTACTTTTCTCTGCTCCTCCTAAAAGCTGTTGCTTAAAATACAGTTCATTTGTGTATTCTCATTTCGAGCTCCACGGTTTCTTTTTAGTGCTGGATAATTGGCAGACAATTTTCATCCTGATATGTGAAACTTCCAGAAAGGTGTAAATCAAAAAAGGAGATTCAAATCTGAATGACTGGTTTCAGTTATTTTGATGGCATTTTAATTTCAGTCAGACTAGGTCCTGTTCATTGATGGTTTAATGAACTGGCTCAATCTGTGGTCAGGTGATCACTACAGCTATCTTAATACAGTGTTTTTACTTTTTAAAAACTATCTTAGTCCATGAAAAATCCCAGATGTGAAAAACCTGATGATAGAAGTCGAAAATTGACAGCTCATTTTTGACATGATCGTAACACTATCTACTTTGTCTAGACACCATATGATTTTGAATTCCACATTTTCTCTCAATCTTCTATTCTCCAAGAAAACAGTTAAACCTTCTCTGATCTGATCTGCAAAACTAAAGTTCCTCATCCCTAGAACCATTCACATAAATCATTTCTCGACTCTATTTCCTGCTGTTGAGACTGAATCGGTGCTCTAAACAAATCTAACATAACTACCTCAATCTTGTACTCTATGCCCATATTAATAAAACTTATGATTCTGTATGTTTTATTAGCCATGCTCTTAACCTGTTCTGCCGCATTCCATTCTGTCCTGTCGTATTCAATGATTTATGCATTTATGCATCCAGGTCTACACTATAACTGCACCCCCTTGAGAATTGTACCCTTTGTTTTATACTGTCTCTCCTGCATACTTTCTACCAAAATTAATCACTTCATACTCACCTTCATTAACTTTCATCTGCTTCTGGTCTACCCTTTCCACCAACCAGTTTATTCTTCTTCAAATTTCCGCACTATTCTCACTGTTGTCAGTCCTTCCAAGTTTTATATCAGCCACAAGTTTTGAAATTGTGCACTGTACATTAAGATCTTAGTCACAAATACATATCAGGAAGAGCAGGGGTTCCAGCACTGGCCACTGAGGGACTACCACTAGAAAGCTCTCTCCAGTTCAGAATGCATCCATTAATTGTTACTCTGTTTCCTGTCACATAGTCACTTTCATATCCATATTACTACTTTCTGTTTTATTCCTGGAACTCAAACATTTCTCAGTGTTGTGCAGCACTTGATCAGACATGTTTTGTAAGTCCGTGAAGAGCTTATCAACAACATTACCCTGATCAACCCCAAGATCATAAGAAAAAAGCTGCACCAAATAAAACACTTTTGGTCTTAACAAATCCACGTTGACTTTCCTTTTGCTCAAGTGCCCATTAATTTTATTCCAAATTATTGTTGTTTCTAGAAGCTTTCTCACCACTGAAGATAAGTTACTGACCTAGAATTGCAGGGTTTATCTTCATACCTTTTTAAAGTAATTGTAACATTTACAATTGTCCAATCCTTTGGCATCACCCTTGAGTCTAACAACGACTGGAAAATTATGGCCAGTGTGCCTGCAGTTTTGACTCTCACTTCCCTCAGTATCCTTGGATGCATTTCATCCATTTCTGGTATATTATCAATTTTAACTGCAGACAACCTATATAATACCTTTTCTTATCAATTTAAAATTCTTCAAATGCCTGAATTACTTCATTTTTCACAATTCTGACCAATGCAGCATGTTCCTCCTTAGTAAAGATAGATGAATAAAACAGAATTAATACTTCTTCCATGCTCCCTGCCTCCATGCAATAATCCCCTGTCTGATCTTCAAGCAGACCTGCTCCTCTTCTTTGCATTTTTTCCAAGTCCATCTGCCTACAAAAGATCAAGTAAAATAGTGACAAGAAAAATTTGCATTTATGTAGCATCTTCAATGTAGTATAGAACATAGAACATAGAACATAAAACATAAACCATAGAACATAGAACAGTACAGCACGGTACAGGCCCTTTGGCCCACGATGTTGTGCCAACCTATTATCCGACTAAGACCAATCTACCCTGCATAACCTACATTTTACTATCCTCCATGTGCCTATCCAAGAGTCACTTAAAAGTCTCTAAAGTATCTGACCCCACTACCACTGCCGGCAGCGCATTCCACACGCCCACCTCTCTCTGTGTAAAGAACCTACCTCTGACATCTCCCCTGTACCTTCCTGCAATCACCTTAAAATTATGCCCCCTTGTAATAGTCATTTCCGCCCAGGGAAAAAGTCTCTGACTATCCACTCTATCTATGCCTCTCATCATCTTGTAAACCTCTATCAAGTCACCTCTCATCCTTCTTCGCTCCAATGGAAAAAGCCCTCGCTCCCTCAAAAGACCTGCCCTCCAGTCCAGGCAGCATCCTCGTAAATAGCTTACCAAAGCACTTTGTGCAAGCATAATCAGAAAGAAATTGACACCAAAACATATTAGAAATATTAGCTGAGCTGAAGCTAAGATTGATCAAAGATATAGGTTTTTTGGGGATATTCTTATGGAACAGAGAGAGACTAAAAAATGAAACTGCTTCGTGAGGAAACTTTGGGTCAAGTTTGGGTCATCCTTGAAGGCAAGAATGATAAGAGTGGAGTGTGAGGCTAGAATTAGAGGAGTGCAGAGAACTCAAAAGAGTCATGATGAAGCAATGGAGGAGGTTGAAGAGATGGGGGTGGGGGGAGACCATGGCAGGATTTGGAATCAAGGATGAAAATTTTAAAATCAAGGAGTGACTGGATGGAGAGCAAATGTAAGTCAGTGAGCACAAGGGTGATGGGTGTTCGTGTAGGTAGGATTTCAGTCAGCAGGGTTGTCAATGAGTTCGAGTTTATGGATAATTGTTCATTTAAATTGCACATGTCTGCACTAGACAACTTGAAGTTTTGATCTGTGCAATGGATTAAGTCTTGTTGTTTGATATCACCTGGATGTTTGTGGGAGACGGCAATGTTTTCTTTGACAGATGTTGCAGACATGGAATTCCTGGAGGTGTTGACAGAAGGTCTGGATCGGGTGCTGTTGGTTCGTGGCGGGGGCCGTGAAGTCATCACCATTTACTCCTGAGCTCCAGACTGCTGCCAAATTTCGCGCAATGAACCCATCACAGCTTTTTATCAGCAACTCCCAGTGTCTTCTCAATGTGTAGTGTTTGACATGCAGCTAAAAAAGACTTCCTATCCAGCTCCTGGTAACAGTTTTTGTAAAATGTTTCCCTTTGACGACAGGATAGGAAGTAGCACTGAACAGATAAGGAAGGGGAATGCTCACCTACATAGCTTCTTCTTGACTTAAATGACTTTGCTTATTGTTGTCCTTTCTATGCTTCATGTTTCCTAGGAATTCTTCATTCAAGTTGCAATATTAGAAAACATTTAGGGTCACTGAACACTTTTAAAACTATCATTAGTGTACATGGACACTCTGTAGGTGTAAGGAACCAGTTATAGGGTGTATAGCTATTACTCAAATCAGAAGCATTTGCATGAATGGACAAAATCTTTCTGAAAAAAAAATTACAATTAAACCCTTTGTACATTGTGACCAGATTATTCCATGGTCCAGCTGTAAGGATACAAACAGGATAATCCACCAGTTTTGGTACTCCTATACTTCACAATAGAACATCATGCCAAGGATTGACTTGCATGCATCTGTGATGCAGCCTTGTTAATCTGCAAATATTCAAACTGGTTTTATGGATTGGTTTTCATCCAAGTCAAGGCTGATCTATTCAAAGTGGGTTCTGTTTCCAAAGGGAACCAGGGCAAATAAAAGCAGAAAAATAACTCTATTTTTTCGGTAAGGGGTGGGAGGGTAATGGGTATTGAAGAAATAATGTAAAATAGACTATGGTATATTAGATACAAATAAAGTAAAAATGAAATAAAATAAAATGTAATATGGGGAACAAAAACTAGGGTTAGCAGATGTAATGTTCAAAATGCTTTATTTTTATTTCACTATGTTAGTGTTCATTTTGGTTGTACAGATTAGTAATACAATAATAACCCTACTCCTAATGTGTGAGTAACTGTAACATTTGTGCTTGTTTCAGTGAGGCAATAGTTCCCCATTGATCTACGGATTAATTGGACTTGTTAAATAGATGTGAAAATGCTCCAATCATTATTGTTACACACATCATACTTTGGTGTGTATTCTCTAATAAATATTGCTTCAGAACACAAGTTTTGTAGCATGCATTTCAAAATATCAATAAATAAAATTAGCATCCTTTTTAACATACTTAGACTTCTTAAAGAAGTGGTAATTACTTTTTGTCTGCAGGAAATGAAGGCGAAAGATAATTATGAGCAATATTAATATATTTTCACAGATAAACATTTTTCACTGACCCTAAAAATAAAGAAATATGCAATTATTGCAGGTTGTGTACATACAGTTATTTTCTAACTAAACTATAAATAGCAAATTACTGTAAGCTGCAATAAGGGCTGTGCGATAGTACTCAAATTGCTGTGCAAACCTAAGGAACTTATAAAGCATTCATTTATTACAAGATTCTGAAATTAAACATTTCCACTATGAAAATCTTTGTATTAAATAATAACCCTGAAATGCACATGATTAGCATATGTCATGTACCGTATTGTATACATATTTAATTTCTCATTTTTCTTTCCATAACATATCAACATGATTATTCGTACTTTGGAGTTGTGTCAAATGTATGACTAATTAACTGAAATAATTTTAAAAATTTAAATGACAGCATATCAGATGAAATGATGGCTTTGGTGGCTTGCTCACAAAAATTAAAAAGCTGTGTCTTGTTAGCATTTCCCTTTGATAATTTTGTACATATGGTATTTATTTTGTCGCACTGCTACAAATGACAATTGCAGTCTTTAGTTTTTGACCATTCAGTGCATTTAATCAGGGAATCCAATCAGAATCGATCTAATTCTATCAGAGCCCAAAATATCTCATCTGGACAAAGCAAATGGAAGGCAAACAAGTAACTGACACGTTTACTAGAGGTACAGTATAACGGAAGTCAATCCATCGCAGCAAAGGTGAAAAATTGAATCTGAAGAAAAGCAAATTGTGAAAATTAAATTCTAGCCCAAACAAGTGGACCTTAGATCTCAGACTGAAACAATTAATTGCAACTGAGAAAGTTTAGACCTTGCAGTTCGAAAGAGGCCACTTGGACCATCAAGTTAATTGCTGTCTGCTGGGCAAACTGGTTAGTCCCATTCCACATTCTATCCCCATGACCCTGAAAGTCTATTTCCCTAAATTTCCTATCCAATATCCCTTTGTTTTTAACATGCACAAGACAACATGAGTCACACTTTAACATTCCATTGGAAAGGTAGCATCTGTATAACAAGGCACTCCCTCAGTACTGCATTGATGTGTTTGCCTAGATTCTGGACTCAATGTCAACTCATAATCATCTGTCTCAGAAGCAAGAGTGCAGCCATTGAACCAAGACTGAGGCTTCTTCTTATAGGTTATTGCTAGAGGAATGGAGTTTAAAAACAGGGAGGCTATGCTGCAGCTGTATAGAGTCCTGGTGAGGCCACACCTGGAATACTGTGTGCAGTTTTGGTCTCCTTACTTGAGAAGAGATATACTAGCACTGGAGGGGGTGCAGAGGAGATTCGCTCGGTTGATTCCAGAGTTGAGAGGGTTGGATTATGAGGAGAGACTGAGTAGACTGGGATTATACTCATTGGAATTCAGAAGAATGAGGGGAGATCTTATAGAAACATATAAGATTATGAAGGGAATAGATAAGGTGGAGGCAGGGAGGTTGTTTGCACTAGCAGGTGAAACTAGGACTAGAGGGCATCGCCTCAAAATAAAGGGAAGCAGATGTAGGACTGAGGTCAGGAGGAACTTCTTCACCCAAAGGGTTGTGAATCTGTGGAATTCCCTGCCCAGTGAAGCGGTTGAAGCTACCTCGCTGAATGTTTTTAAGGCAAGGCTGGATAAATTTTTGAACAGTAAAGGAATTAAGGTTTATGGTAAGTGGCCGGGTAAGTGGAGCTGAGTCTTAAAAAGATCAGCCATGATCTTAAATGGCGGGGCAGGCTCAAGGGGCCAGATGGCCTACTCCTGCTCCTGGTTCTAATGTTCTTATGTTTTTTTTTCATTACTTCTATTATGTCCAGTTCCAGTCACACATCTGTAACCACTTGTGTTTCACCCTTGTGTTACAGAGCTCAAAATACTCTCTCTAAACACAACGTAAGTTAGAAAAGGCACAATTGAAAATTATACTGTTAACTGTGGCTCACAGTCCAAATAGACACGATGTGATAAACCTGATGAATAAATGCTAGGGAAGGAATCTCATATCGACAGGATAAATGAGAGTTTCTGGCAAATGCTGTCCAATACTGGTGTGAAAAGGAAGGACATTGAATAATTGGTAATGTCTAATAATTATACTAGGAAGGCATATTGAACACTAGATCTAGCAGAGGTCACTAATCTCCACAGGTTAAAATTGATTTTCAGAGATCCTCAAACCTTGGTATTCTCATGAAAAGATCCAGAAAATCCAAAGATTTTGACCTGTAGCAGTTCTTTATATTTGTTGATTTGCTCATTGATGGTTCCTTTGAATGAATGCTAATAATTTTTTTTTTAAATGATAGTGACAGATACACCAGAGGGAACGAATGGTCCATGCATGAAGTTAACAAAGGAGGTCCCAGGAGAGGTAATATTAATGAGGGGTATTACAGGGAGTGCTGAAATTGGCAAGGGATCTTGGAGTCCTGCAATTTAGAGGAGAGTGCTTCCCCACATACCCAGATCAGTGGGGGAGTGATCTGATGGGCCTTCCATTTACAATGAGTGGGTGACATTATTTGGGATATAAGGATGAATCTTTTTGTTCTTGATATTTATAGGCTGATTATGAACTGTAATGATATTTACTGGTGGGGTGAATTCTCAGGTCTGTCAGTTTTACAATTCAATTACAGTTGTTTATCATTCAAACACACATTGATTTGAAATAAGATCAGCAATTCAGAGACATATTTATGGAGGATTGGTATTTGATAACTTGATAAACATGCAAATATAAGATGACATAAATATTCAAAGCATCTTCTAGTTCTCCTTTTCCTTCTGAGAAAATGAAATCTATGACAAATAGATTTTTTATCACCATTTTATTTTTAACATTTTGCCTCCACCAGGGAAGTATCTGCCAAAAGAGGAGAAATGAATGTTCATTGTTTGACAAAGAATTTAAGAAACAGTGCCATGCAGTTTGTGGCCACAGGGTGTCACCAAAGTGCTTCAGACACTAACAACTTTTTTTCATATTATGCAGTGGTTTCCCCATATTATTGTTCATGATTTGAACAGTTTAATAAAAAACGAAACTAGATTTGAGTCCTTAAACAATTTTGGAGTTCTTTGGTTTATTTTGGAGAATAACTATTCTTTTTTAGATTTCATATTTTTCCAGCGACATCAACACCAATAATCACAAACGGTCTTTGCATTCTGCAGTGTATCATGAACAAATTTTAAGTCAACAAAAGTTGTAACACAATCTAATTGATGTATTGCTGCTTAAATTTATTGGAATTCCAACAATAAATGACAGAATTATCATTGACTTCTTGCAGTTACAAGGCATTGCAGTTGTGCCCTATTGGCAATAAGCAACAATGATACACACCTGCCCAAGAACTATTCTGCTCTGACGATGTGCAAAGAAACAATATCTATATAAAACTCCTATCATCCCACATTGTCCAGATACCACAGGAGGCAGAAGCTAATGTCAAATTGATTTTGAAATACTGAGGTAAATCATCCAAGAGTTTTTCAGAATTTCAGATCACAACACCCCTGTCAAACTTCCTTAGAGTCTAAAAATGACAATTGTAATTAAGGTCACACTGGAGCACTTTTGTAAGGAAAACATAAGCTCAGAGAAGTTGGGCCTGGAATGTAAACTGTCAAAAAGCATTCTGGCTCCCTGGCAAGTTGAATAAACTCTACCAAAACTCAAATCGACGCTTACTGTTCAATTTGTCAATTTGTTGTAAATACTTGTCTTTTAC